AGTAGCTCAGAGCCGGACGAGGGCAGTGTATAAGGTTGGGGTTAAAAACGCTCTGGTTCTTTTTTTGGCCCCTTGAATTCATTGTTGAATGAAATGAATGAAAACTCACTGACCCAGAAACTTCTCTCGCCTCTTTGTGATTTGTCCTCCTTCTTCTCTTTCTCAAATTCTAAAACCAAAGTGGCAAATGGCAAAGGTGATGTTCTTCCCAGAATAGACAAGCAGGAAAATCACACCTAAATAGTTTAATTTAAGGTACATCCGTTGTTGGAAAAACCAAAAAAAACCCTCTCTTTGTTCATGGCTCTCCAAAATTCAGTCATTTGCAAGAGGTACCTCAAATAAATGAAATTAGTCATCGCCCCAAATGAATGACTTTGTAGATAATCACCATCATTGAAAGGTAATATTGTTTGAGTCGCTACCATTGGAACCCTGTCTTTTCCACTTTCCAGCAAAATAGTTTAAAGTTATTTTCCATATGCTTGCTCCCCTTGTCCCTGCCTATGCCTCATCCTTCAAAAAATCTCTTCCCATCCTTCTTGCAGTAGCGAAATTACCCTAAGCTCTCCACAAATAACCAACCGGTGTCTGTCCAATCTAGTGGCCTATTTTGGGTCCTCATCCTATTTAACGTCTTTGCAACTTTTAAAATAATTGTCCACCGGGAACACCTGAGTGACTCAGGTCATGATCCCAGGGTCCTAGGATTGAGTCCCCACATCAGGCTCCTTGCTCAGTGGGGAGCCTGCTTCTCTCTCTGCTTCTGCCTGCCACTCTGCCTGCTTGTGCGGGTGCGCGCGCTCTCTCTCTGACAAATAAATAAATAAAATCTAAAAAAAAAAAAATTGTCCACCAGTATTGACTGAAATCTCTCTTGGCTCTCAGGACACCAGCCTTCCTGACTTCTTCTTGGCAGTTCCTAGGTCCACTTCTTATGCTCCTTGTCTGTTTTCTCTTCTGCCTACTTCTAAAAGGGTTTTCTGGTCCCTGGAGTTGTGGCTTCTCCACTTACATGTTCTACTATTTAGAGACCGGTAGAAACCGAGACACAGTCAGGGAGTCCTCTCACCCCCTCATTTTCCATATTCATTTTGGCCACCAAGTTCTGTCCATTTTATCAGAGAAGCCTTTCCTCCTTCTAGTATCTTCCCGTTACTTTCAGGACCAGTGTCCTCGATTAAACCTTTGCTGATACTAGCCTGACCTGTCACCATCTGTATTAAACCTGTCTCTCTGCCCTTCAGAACAGCCTCCCCACTATAGTCATAAGATCTGCCGTTCTAATAAATATGGCAAATCCTGCCCTTCTAGTAAAGGCATTTTCTCTGCCTAAAGGATGAGGGTAAGCATCACTGCATGGCTTGCAAGGTCTCTATGATTTATTCTGCAATCACCTGTCATCCAGTCCTCCCACAACATTTTCCTTCCCACCCCTGGTCCTTTCTTAAGACTGCTTAGGGTGCTCCCTGCTCCCGGAATGCCTTTTCTCACCTTCACCCGGTGTTCCTATCCTTCAAGATCCTGGTTCAAACTTCAACTCACACTTCTTAGCCAAGGAATTTCCTAGCACCTCCGGCCAGGTGAGTTACCCCTTCTTGAATTGCCCTTTGGCAATCCATTTGAACAGTAATGACAGCTTAAATTTCTAGAATGCTTATTAGGTGTGCCAAGTTCTTTACTGTCATCGCACATTTCCTCATTATAAGAGACGAACTAGAAAGGCATTAGTACTTTTATCCTGATTTTTCAGCTGAAGTTTAGCTAGATTGAGGCAGATAAAGGCAAACTGACCATGGTCACAAGTTATAGACAGTCGAGGCTCTTTGACTTTTCCACTGTTTGTTTTGGTTTGAATTTGGTTCCCAAATTCCGCCTGCATCAAAATTACCCATTGGAATTGCAGGAACATGGACTGCCTGCCTACCCCACTCCCGGACTTTCTGATTCAGCAGGTGCAGGAGTGGGGTCCAATAATCTTCATTTCCAAACAATTCCCAGGGGATGCCTCTGCTGCCAGTCCTGGGATTGCACTTGGAGAACCACTGTTTCACACCTTTGCTCCTGAAAGCGTCTTAGAGAATGCACAGCAGCAGCATCTCCTGGGAGTTTCTTAGAAATGAAGCATCTCGGGCTTCACCCTAGCCCTACTCAATCAGACTCTGCATTTTTAACGATTCCAAGTGATTCACGAGCACGTAGTTGGTGTGTACCCATCGCACACTTTTGTACCGAGACAGACTCTAAAATGGACAAGTAACTTAATTTACAGAGAGCGTCTCTCGAGTAAGAGTGAGCAGGGAGCTCTTCGGACACCCGCCGGAGGTTCGAGACTCCCAGGCCTCGGCCTCGCCCGCTCCGCCTCCAAGTCGCGCCTCGCCCCGCCTCTCTCACCGAGCCCAGCCCTTTAATTGGCCACAGAGTCCTCGGACCGCCCCCAGCGCCCCGCCCCGGTTTCCGCTCGGCCCCGCCTCCCCGAGGAGGGGGCTGGCGCGGCGCGCGGCGCCCACGCGGCGCGCGGCTCTCACCCACGCAACACGCCGGCCGCTCCCCCGGGTCCTCCGGACCACCGAGCCCTCTTCCTAGAGCAGCCCGGGAGGAGACCCCCCCCCCCCCGCCCCCCGCCCGACTCCTCGCTTCCTCCCGTGCCAATTTAACCGGCACCCGGAAGTGCAGACGGCCCCGCAGTTTCTAGGGTCGTCTTTAGGGCTCCTGTTGTTACTGTTTCATTCACGCCACAAACGATGCTCGGACTCCTGGTCTTTGGCAGAGAGATGAAGGAGGCCCAGTCCCTGTCTACATCAAGGACGGCAGGACGGGGTGATAAGCTCTGTACCGCGGGGACCGGATCGAAGGAAGCTGTCCCGGAGCGGTAACGGCCCGGGGCTGGCGGTCGCCTGCCCTGTAGGCGCTCCGGTGTTTGCAGCGTGAGCGGAGAGCATTCCGGCTGGAAGCAAGGTGGTTGCCCGGAAGGCGTCTCGCCGTGCAGGACTTGAGGGTGCCTGGAGATGAAGTTGGGAAGGTAGGCAGGGGCGATCCTGAAGGGCTTCCTGGTCCACCAACCAAAAATGTCAGTTTCCTTTCTGCCCACTTTCAGGACCAAATTTGAGAAGTGCCTGCTTTTTTGTTTTGTTTTGAATATTACCATCCACACGCAAAGAATCCATAGGACTGTGACTTGAAGGCTGTTTGTTATTTCATTATATTGCTGTGTCCTCATTTAATGAAACCATTCCCTGCCGCTTTTGTTTACCGTCACAAATAATGTAGGAACGAATGTCTTCATGTCTTGCTTTTTTTTTTTTTTTTGGCTTTTGTTGAATGTTTCCACAGATACTAGTCAGAAAATAGTACATCGTTTTGCTCTTACTTATATTCCCTCACTGCTTTCCAAAAAGTTAATAACGGCAACAGTAATATCTATTTACGCAATCCTTATAAATTAAGTATTTGCTGGTGGTAGGCTCTGAGCTGGGCTCTAGGGGCATAATATGAGCAATTTAGTACAGACCCCGTTCTCATGCGGCCTCCACTCTTGTAGGAGAGGGTGGCATTCATCAAGTTATCACACAAGCGTATAATTACAAACCGACAAGTAGCATGAAGACCAGTATTACAATCTCAGCCCTGGTGGTAGTTTGCAGGGTTTCATTTTTAGTTTTCCTACTGAACTGCCTTCATTTAAAATTTTCCTGCTGTACTTGAAACAAATGCTTTTTCGGGATTGCTTTGCTTTCTAGGTTTTAAATTAACCTGTGTTGTTCCTCCCTAGTTCATCCTGCTGCTTAAGGTAAGTACTCTGTTGTAAACCAGCAAAAAAAGCAAATTTAGGCCTGAATTGTTTCAAGATGAATAGTTAGAGTCTGTTTAAGAACTTGTTCTGTCCTCTCCTCTATTCTTTAACAGACTCCCTATATCAAAGTCATTTCAAATGTTGGAACTAAGTAGGAAAGACTGTCTCTTCCCTACCTAACTCACAAGACTATTATGGGAATTACAAAAAAAAAAAAAAAAAAAAAAAAAATTAAAGGGACTTTGCAAACGTGAAAGGTTTTTGGATGATAATCCTTCTGCATTTGCACTGCCCTCTTTACTGTTGTTTATTTCGTGTCTATTCAACAAATACTTATTGGACATTGATCTTGTGTCAGGCGCTGGGGATGCAAAGATAAAACAAGACCCAGGCTCTGCCCTCATGGAACTTAAATTTTGATGTGCACTGGAGCACTGTGGGTCAAGGTGAAAAGAATCTGAAAGTCGCTACCTACCCAGTCCTTTCACTGCACAGCTCAGGTGCCAGAGGAGTGAACATTTACCTTTCCCATCTTTTGACTACTCCTGCCTATGACCCACAGCAGATCTTCCCCCTTGGGCACACGCAGAGGAAGCCTTTACCTAAGTATTAAAAGACTGGACCCTCTCTGCAACTAATGGGGTAACAGCTTCTCTTTAAATTCCCATTTAAAGATTTATATAGTATCCCCTATTCGTATGTACCCCAGTCCCTGCGTGTATGGTTAACAGGTCCTGTTGTCATTCCTCTTGTAAATCAGCGGAGGCCCAAAACCCCTTGGTACCAGTTTTGATTTTGTTACAGGCACCGAAAGGTCTCGTAGCCTCCGGTTTCCCAGACATAGACGGGGTGAGGCTAGAGGGGAGGTAGGTTTAGATTGGTCCCCCAGTCCTCTTTCTGCTGTTTTTCAGCCCAAGGGCTAACCACCAAGACATAGGTCCAAACTCTATTAAAGGCAGCCTCGGTGGAGGAAGGCACACGCGGGTCGGGTCACTCGCGAGGACGAGTGACCCGTGAACGTGGGACTTGAAGTTGTACTGTAGCTATCCGCCGGTGGCGGCTGAAAGGGGGACCGTTCGGAGCGTGCGCATTAGTGCCCCCAACGTGCGCGCGGGCGGCGCGGGGGGAGGAAGGGGCGGGGCGCTACCGGCGGCGGGGGGCGGGTTCGGCGTCAGCTGTGTCAGGTGATTGGCTCCACGACGGGGAGGGGGCCGGTTTCCGCCGGACGACGGAAGTGGCTCTCCAGCTCTGCCAGTAGGCCATGGAGACGGTGGCACTGTAGCGAGCTAGGTGTGAAGATTGCAGGGGCGGCGGCCATGGAGGCCGTACTGAACGACCTGGTGTCTGTGGACGACCTGCTGGTGAGGCCTGGCCTCGAGGGAGGGAAAGGAGACATTCGACGGGCGGGTCCCGAGGAGCGTCCGGTTGGGGCCAGACCCTCTACCCAGCATCAGTTTTGCCTAGGGAAGCCGAACTACGGCTCCCGGCATCCTCTGCAGCGTCCGGCCCCTGCCCAGCGGTTCTACTTTGTCCAGTAGCCTAATGGGAGTTGTAGTTTTCTGCGCCGACACGCCCCAGACTCGGGGCCTGCGGTCTGGCGTTGAAAGACTGACAGGTGCTGGGTGAGTGGAGGAGTTAGGAGGTCAGAGTGCGGACAGCTTTTTTTTTTTTTTTTAAACTGTTCCTTCAGTGGGGGGGAATATAGCAACTACCATGAAGTTTCATATATTACTCACTGAATGCGGCACGGTGCTAAGTGCATTGCAGGCCATATCTCAGTCTTTGTAGCTCTGTGGGCTACTGTTGGCACTGTTCTTATTCCCAATTTGCAGTTAAGAAAAGGTCCAGGCCCAACAGGGTGGGGCTGGTTGGGGGAAGCAGCTGCGTGGGTTGTTGAGAAGTTCTGACAGCGTGTTTACTGTTTAGCCTCGGGGGTCAGCTGCTTCGGGAGCGGTGCCTGGAGCTGCCACCAGGTGGCATCTCTGCTCGGCACCACTAGGGGGAGGGAAGCGGACAGGGTTACTGTCCAAGGAGACAGCCCGTCGCTAAGCAGCAGAATCCCTGGGTCTGGGTCCCAGGGATGAAGCTAGCGGAACCTGGGGTGCCAGATGCCAAGACCCGCGGGCAAATGAGGCAGAGACTGGGGAAGATGGGGTGTAACTGGGAATTGAACCCGTAGGTCCTGGTAGAGAACGGTGCGCCCCTTCATTTCTAAATGACTCCTCTCCTCTCCTTGGCAGAAGTTTGAAAAGAAATTTCAGTCTGAGAAGGCAGCAGGCTCTGTGTCCAAGAGCACGCAGTTTGAGTATGCCTGGTGCCTGGTGCGAAGCAAGTACAACGATGACATCCGTAAAGGCGTCGCACTGCTGGAGGGTGAGTTTCTAGGCTACCCCACCCTCCCCTTCCCAGCTGCTGCCATGGCCTCGTTCACTCCCTCCATCTTCAGTACTGGGATTCTTTTTCTTTTTTAAAAAAATCTTTATTTATTTGACAGAGAGACAGAGATCACAAGCAGGCAGAGAGGCAGGTAGAGGGAGAGGGAGAAGCAGGCTCCCCACTGAGCAGAGAGCCCGATGTGGGGCTCAATCCCAGGACCCTGAGATCATGACCTGAGCAGAAGTCAGAGGCGTAACCCGCTGAGCCACCCAGGCGCCCCTGGGATTCTTTCTCGACATGGCAGTTATTTTCCTATAAACACATGCAACGAAGGCTGCCCCTTCACCTGGCTTCTCCCAGTGTGCTTTTGGCTAATCCACCTCATCCTTGTTTCGCCAGCGTATGTCAGTCCCCGCAGGCCTCTGGCGATCTGGTAGCCTGACCTGGAGAGTGACTTAGTCTGAGGTCACACAGCTCGTGAATTAGCGGCTGAATGAGGACTGGAAGCTCCTGTCTTGCTCTTTGGCCTCACCATGTTGCTTATTCAGCAGCTGTTGAAAACCTTCCATGAGGGCGGTGTGGAAGAAGTGCAGAAGACAGGCCCCGGAACCTGGGGGCAGATGGCACTGGTTTTTTTTGTTTTGTTTTGTTTTTAATTTTTTATTTTTTTGTTACTGCTAGTTTTTTTTTTTTTTTTAATTTAAATTTTTTTTTAAACATATAATATATTTTTATCCCCAGGGGTACAGGTCTGTGAATCGCCAGGTTTACACATTTCACAGCACTCACCATAGCACATACCCTCCCCAATGTCCATAACCCCACGCCCCCTCTCCCAACCCCCCTCCCCCCATCAACCCTCAGTTTGTTTTGTGAGATTGAGTCACTTATGGTTTGTCTCCCTCCCAATCCCATCTCGTTTCATTTACTCTTCTCCTACCACTTAACCCCCCATGTTGCATCTTCTCTCCCTCATATCAGGGAGATCATATGATAGTTGTCTTTCTCCGATTGACTTATTTCGCTAAGCATGATACCCTCTAGTTCCATCCACGTTGTTGTAAATGGCAAGATTTCATTTCTTTTGATGGCTGCATAGTATTCCATTGTGTATATATACCACATCTTCTTTATCCATTCATCTGTTGAGGGACATCTAGGTTCTTTCCATAGTTTGGCTATTGTAGACATTGCTGCTATAAATATTCAGGTGCACGTGCCCCTTCGAATCACTACTTTTGTATCTTTAGGATAAATACCCAGTAGTGCAATTGCTGGGTCATAGGGTAGTTCTATTTTCAACATTTTGAGGACAGATGGCACTGTTTTGACTGGAATCCTATTTCCTGTTGGTTTTGGATGGGCCACCATTTGCCAGAGGCCACAATACCTGACTTTTAAATTCCTCTGTCCCCTCTACCCCCTTTTCTTGGCCAGGTAATCATGCGCAGGCAAACAGCATCCTAGCAAAGGATGGCCATTGTCAGCTGATAAAAATAAGAATCGTTTCTAATGCAAATAACCTCACCCTGCATTTGCCTGTTTGGCTCTTTCAGATTTTTCAGCTTCCCTCTGCAGCTCGGCGCAGCTGTAGGTGGGGTCTCTAAGCGTTGCCAGTTCCAGTGGAGGAGACAGAACAGACATGTGGGGAGATTTATAAACACCTGCGAAACTATTTATTTTTTATTTTTTTATTTATTTTTTTTTTATATTTTATTTATTTATTTGTCAGAGAGAGAGCGAGCACAGGCAGACAGAATGGCAGGCAGAGGCAGAGGGAGAAGCAGGCTCCCTGACGAGCAAGGAGCCCGATGTGGGACTCGATCCCAGGACACCGGGATCATGACCTGAGCCCAACCAACTGAGCCACCCAGGTGTCCCACACCTGCGAAACTATTTAGCCACAAATTCTACTGCATAGTGTACAGCTGAGCACATAGGCCCCTGGGAAGTCACTGAATTAAGAAAATCAGGTCGGGGCACCTGGGTGGCTCAGTGGGTTAAAGCCTCTGCCTTCGGCTCAGGTCATGAAGCGGTGTTCACCCTTCTGCCTCTGCCCTCTGCAGAGCTGTTGCCCAAAGGGAGTAAAGAGGAACAGCGGGATTATGTCTTCTACTTGGCCGTGGGCAACTACCGGCTCAAGGTAAGGCAGAGCGTTCCCTTCTCCCACTGCACCCTGCTGGGGTGGGCTGCAGCGCCTACTCGCTGCTCCTCCGGGGGCCGTCCAGAGCCCTGGCCGCCAGGAAGGCTGAGGAGGGCTGTGGGCGGCAGGGGGTGGTGAGGGGTACAGAGGTGCAGGGTGAGAGTCGGCTGAGGGAAGGCAAGCGACAGAGATCCCAGCTGCCGAGGGTGTGGGGAGCAAGGTGACCTCAGGTTGGGGTGCAGCCCCAAGCCTCGGCTTATCTTCCCCAGCTTATCACCCCCACACAGTTGGGGTTGTTTGTGGACTCTACTCCGCTGGGTGAGGCTGGAGTCAGGGAGGAGGTGGAGGGAGGAGCCCCCGGGGTCCGGCGAAGGGAAGGCCGCTCTGATGAGCAGGAGAAGGGCTAGATACTGAGGTGGGGGGGCGTGTGTGGTGTGTTTTCCCCGAGAGCAGGAATATGAGAAGGCGTTAAAGTACGTGCGGGGGCTGCTGCAGACGGAGCCCCAGAACAACCAGGCCAAGGAACTGGAACGGCTCATTGACAAGGCCATGAAGAAAGGTGAACCCTTCCCCTCTGCCCTCCTCCACTCCCCACTCCTCTTGCTCCCGGGCCCCGTCACGCCTCTCGGCTCTTGGTTAAGTCCTCTTCCTTCCCCCAGGCCTGGGCTCTCTGGTCTCCCTTTAAATGACGCCCTCCTCCTCAGGCAGCTCCTCAGTGGCTCAGAAGCCTTCTTTCTCCAAGCCCGAGGCCCTCACCTCATGACTCCGGGGGAGGAGGCACGTCTGTTGAGGCGCATTGGGCGGGGAGAAAGAAGGTGGTGGGCAGCGCGTCCCTGTGGGGGCTGGGCTCCTGACAGTCTCCCTTTTCCCTTCCCCAGACGGCCTAGTGGGCATGGCCATCGTTGGAGGCATGGCCCTGGGCGTGGCAGGCCTGGCTGGACTCATCGGACTTGCTGTGTCCAAGTCCAAATCCTGAGTGAAACCGCGCCTCTGCCCGGGGATACGTGGGAGTCTATGGAGGACACTCTGAGAGGAGGGGACCCATCCATCCTTGCTGTCCCTGTCTTCTGCAGTCAAACGCTCTACCACTGAGCTATACCCCCATCCCTGTCTTCTGCACCCCATCACTGCCCTCTGGCGTTCAGCCTCCTTTCCCCAGAGATGTGTCCGGTAGCCCCAAACCATGTGCTCCAGGAGGAGTGTAAATAAAACAGCCTTGGCTTGGGAACTGCTGTGTCCGTGTTGAGGAAGGGGTGGGCTCTTTTGGGCCCAAAGGTGGTGGTCATGCGTGGTCCTTTCCTGCTCACTTTCCTACTCCTGTCCCCCACGGCTGGTGTGGGGTGTGCCTTTGTCCGCCAAGCTGCCCACACCCCACGCCCTTCCTTCCTCCCCCACCCCCAAAGCAGATCGGGGACGGGGGACAGGGACGAGGCCTTTGCATGGCGCAAGAGTCCTGGGAGAAAACAGTGACTAGAGACGGGAAGGGCAGAGCTGGGGGGACAGGCCAGGATTTATGTCTCCGGTCTCCTTTGACCCACACAGCTGCCTCTCAGCACGTGGAGTTTTCCACACCACGGGGGGCCCCCCCATTCAATTTCCTCCAAAACCTCCGCCCTTCCCTCTCTTTGTCCTCCTGCCATTCCCCTCCCCATCCTCCTTAGGGGATGGGCCACTGCCCAGGGGCAGGCATGGGGATTTGGCACGGAGACGTCAGAGTTCTTGAGAAAAGTTACAAACTCAGGACATCCCGGTTGTCGGCTCAGAGATGGGAAGGTCGGAACCCAGTCCCCACCCAGCCTGCTTTGCCCCACACCCGCGCGGTGCCAGGCTCAGCATGGGCCTGTCTTGCTTCACTGCATACCTCTCGTTCCACAGCCCAGCCAGCCTGGTTGGGGGGACTGGGGAGGCGGCACCTGAGGGGAGCGCACGGGAGCCTGATACCGTGGGGGGGGCAGAGGGGGGATCCACTCTGGCTCAGCCATGTCCTGGGTGACTGCCTGGGGGTAGCATCCGGCCCCTGAGCCCCGGAGACTGAGCCCCTGTGGCATTTGCAGGAGGAGAACCCGAGCCGTCCTGGCCGAGGCCTAGGAGCAGGAAATGCGCCAGGACAGGTGCTCAGCAGGTGTTCAGCGTCGGCCTGGGCTGGGGACCCGGAGGTTTCTAATCCATCATAATTAGTAGAGCTGGTGACAGTTCTGATAACTGAGCTGCTTAGATTAGTGACGGGATCACTTTCTGGGCCTGCGATTTATCCCCCTCCGCGGCCCATGGCAGCAAGATCAAGCTTGGTGCCGAGAGTCAGAAGATCAACCCACAAGGGGGAGATTTAAGTTCAGGAAGTTTTAGTTTGGAGGAAAGCAGCCCACTGGCGGCCTCACCCCAGCCTGCGCTACCCAGACCTGCGGGGGTACCAAGGAGGGAGCAGTTCACACTTTCGGGGAGCTTCTGATCTGGGGTCACAGGTGAGGAAGCTAGTTCTAGTTCACAGAAGCAGAAGCAAGCTCGCGGGGCTCTGGGAAACGCTGGGTCTGGTTTGACTCTGGGTTGGCTGGACTCCAGAGCGGTGGGTATACCCTGTTCCCTTATGCAGCCTTAACCTACCTTGGAAGATTGGGCCCAAATGCTAGGTCTTTTGCGTCTCCTAAATTGTTCTCACCAACATCCAGGAGAGTGGCTCTGTGCCCCGGATCCTGCCACACCAAAGGTATGTCTGGGAGCACACACTGTCTCTCGGTCATCTTCTCTGTCCTCATCTCTCTTTGTCCATTCTCTGGCCCCCCGATGAAGGCTGAGTCAGAGACGCTTCCCCTCGGCTCCCACCGCCTCCCGTGGGGGCCCCTCCTTGACTGTATCCGTTTGTTCCGTCACTCCCATAAGTCCTCTCCGCCCCCCTCCTGGGGCGGGGAGCCCGGAGGTTGGGGGAGGGGGTGGACTTTTGGCCCGTTTCTTTTATTCCCTCCATCTCTTCGTCAACAGCCTGGTGCTGGAGGCTCATTCCTCTGCCCAGACCTTCCAGGAAGCAGAGACCCGGAGAGAGGGCCGGGGACGGAAACCGGGGGACAGACCTGAGGCCCAGACTGCGGCCGACCTCCCTTTCTCTCGCCCCAGCCTGCCTTAGCGCCCCACCGTAGCCGAAGCCCCTCAAAGTCTCGCGGGGCTCAGCCCCTCCCCTTCTCTGGGGCCCCCGGCGCCCCTCAGGGCCCTGCGTCCCACCATGTCGCTGGCCGTGGAGATCTTCGGCTTCTTCATGGGAGCCCTGGGGCTGCTGATGCTGGGGGTGACCCTGTCACACAGCTCCTGGCGCGTGTCCACCGTGCACGGGAACGTCATCACCACCAACACCATCTTCGAGAACCTCTGGTTCAGCTGTGCCACCGACTCCATGGGAGTCTACAACTGCCGGGAGTTTCCGTCCTTGCTGGCCCTCTCCGGTATGCGGTGGGGACAGCTCCAGGGGCCAGAGGGTGGTGGGAGGCTGGAGGAGGGAGAGGCCCCCGGGGAGGTGGGCGCTGCCCGTGGTCGGGCCTCGGGCACCAGACCGTTAAGGGGGTCTGGATCGGGCTCAGCGGGTTGTGGGGGGCAGCGCGCTGTCTGGAAGTGCGGGAGAGACTTCGTCCCACGTGTCCCCCTGCCCTGATGGGACACTCCTAGTGGTTACAGGCGCAGCAGGATCCGCCTGCCGGGCTCAGTTTACTGCCTCTGCGCCCCGGGCAGGTCAGAACGTGAGCTTCCTCGGTCCTGTCTGTAGGACCCTCGTCATCATAGCACCGGCTCACAGATGCTCCTGGGCCGGGATAAAGCACACCGAGTGTTAGCGGGACACGTCAGCGTGTGTACGCACACGGCCAGTTTCTGCCTCTTAGCTCTGGTGTGGGAGGGCTGGGATCTGCGGGGTGAAGAGGATGCCCCATCTTGGGTTCTTGGGGTTGAGACACGTAAGACCTTCAGGCTCCCGCTGGGGCACTAGTCCCACTGCCGTGGCGAGTTCTAAAGGGCCCTTTGAAAGGGAGCCTCCTGCACCCCCCAAGTGTCCGCTGGAAGCAGGTTGGGGGGTGTGCGTGCATGTGTGTGCTCTGCGGTCCCGGGCAGTGTGTTTTTTGAAGTTCTCGGTGGCTTGGAGTCTACCGCTCTTTTGGCCCAGAAGGTTCTCCCCGGTGGCTGTCGCTCCTTCCTGCTTCCTGCTCACCCTATGAGTAGCTCCGCCCCCCCCGCCCCAGGGGAGTCTCCCGTCAGTCGGCCCCAAGCCAGAGACCAAGAGTGGAGGACCAAGTACCCTATTCGCTGTCGCTCCCACGCCCTCCTTGGAGCCGTCTCGCTCTTTCGGGTCCCCTGCTGCGGGTGCGGGGTAGTGGATGAAACCAAAGCCAGCGCTGGGTGTGGAACATGGCTCCTCAAAATCCCCCAGGAATGCCAGAGATGCTCTGAGAAGTTAGGGTATCTGGGTGGGTCTCTGTGTCCCCACTATTCCCAGAATCTTCTGAGACAGCAGCAGGGGCCTCGTGCCTTCTTCGCTCTCTCTAGGGCTTTCTGTGTACAAGGCAAGTGCCCCCCCCACCCGCCCCAAGCTCCGTCTAAAAGCTGAGTGTCCTCTGGGCCAGAAGCTCAGAGTGCTTGGGGGCCTGAGGGGATGCCGGGGGCAGCCTGCTCAGCAGCCATGGCCATTGCCATTGCACCCACCCCAACCATACCTGTGGCTTGGGGAGGGGCCTTGGCGAGCTCGTCCACCCAAGAAGGGCCCCACTTGGATCTGCTGACGGAGGGGCACGAGCATGCCGGCGGGGAAGGGCAGGGGAGCACTGCCTGGCATCGCGGGTCGCCTGGCTCTGCAGCCTCTTAGTGGCCTCATTGTACCAAAGCTGGGAAGCCCCAAGGACAAGTGTGAACCTGCCCAGAGTCCCACAGGTGGTAAGGGGGCTGGAACCCAGGCTGGTGAGTCCCTCTGAGGCCATTCTGGTCCCCAGGGGGTTCCTGACTATCATTTAATCACATCCAGCCCGTGCTCCCTCGGGACCCATCAGTAATCTCCCCCTTGTCCACCAGGGCCACCTGGGAAGCCTGGGCCGGTTCAGTCCCAGGTAGAGGCGTGTAGATGAATGGGTGCATAGAGGATACGCGGTAGGGGAGAGGGTGGGAACTCCAGAGGGAGTAGCTGGGAGTGAGAACTTTGGTCCTCCTCCTTGCCCGCCAACCCCGGGCCACTCCGCCTACTCCTGGCAGAGGCCCAGCTTTTCCTTCAGCACCAATGGTACTGCCCCACCCGGGAAAGGGGAGCAAGGTCCTTGGAGTGCTTGGCAACTATCAAAGACAGAGTAGGGGGAAGGGGACCAGGAAGGAAAGTGGCCATTTCCTTCTGCTTTGAAGAAGGGGAAACCGAGGCACCCAACATACCTGAGCTAGATGGGCTGGGATGGGTCCTGCGCCCAGGTATCCCACTTTGCGGATGAGAAACGGTCCTTGTCCAGTGACCCATGGGCCACTGCTGCCCCCTACCGGTCGCTTCAGGAGAACGCTCAGTTCGGGCTGACTCGGGCTGTGCCAGGCACCCGGTGGGACCTAGAGAGAAGCAGCTGCAGGGAAGAGGGAATATTCAGTGCAATTTCTGTAACTCACAACAGGGCATGGTGGGGATCTGACAGACCAGAGGTTCTCAATTGGGGTGATTTTGTCCCTCGGGGATCATTGGATAGCGTCTAGACCTGTTGATCGTCCCTCTTGGGACGGACTGGTAGTGACATCTAGTGACTCAAGGCTAGGGACGCTGCTGGACATCCGAAGGGCACAGAATGTCCCCCACCCCCAGAACAGAGGGCCAAAGTGTCAGTAGTGTCAAGGAGCAAGCCTGTCAGGGGGTGGGGCGCAGAGGCTGGGACTCCCGAGGTAAGCTCCTGGGAAGGAGACCGTGGGACCCCTTCGGCTGAATAGGGCCTGACGGGGAAGGAGAGGACTTGAGGGCCCTTATGCGCTGAGACCCGAGCAGGGGCTGGCTCGGTTGTGGAGGGGGAAGGGGCCAGCTGAGGGACCCATGGCTGCGCCCCACCTCCCCAGGGTACATCCAGGCCTGCCGGGCGCTCATGATCACCGCCATCTTCCTGGGCTTCCTGGGCCTCTTCCTAGGCATAGTGGGGCTGCGCTGCATAAACATTGGGAGTGTGGAGCTCTCCAGGAAGGCCAAGCTGGCGGCCACTGCAGGGGCCCTGCACATACTGGCTGGTAAAATTGGGGGAAGGTGACGGGTGCGCCCTGCGTTGTGGTGGGGGGTTGTGGTGGCGGTGCACCCGGGGTTCCCTGTCCTCTCCGGCTCACCGCTCCCTGTGGGTGTCTCACCTTTCCCATAGCACTGACACCTCCCCTCCCTGCCCAGCCCTACCCTCTCCCTCTGCCCACCCAGCCTCACTCCTGCTCTCCCAGTCCCTCAGCTACAAATCAGTCCATCAGCAGTGTTTCTTGAGGCCCCACTAGGAGCCAGGCATGAGTGAGGGGTGAGAGAGACCCCAAGGTGAGTGACCTTACAGCCCGGCCGGGAAGACCAGAGTCAGGGCATACGTGCAGATTCGCCGCGCGCCGTAACAACACACGGTGCGACGGGCCAGCTCTTTTCGGTCTGCGGAGCGCCTGCGCGCGTCCCCTCGCACGCACCTGTGAAGTAGGGCGGGTCTCGCCCTCTTCCCCAGCTGCGGAAACAGGCTCAGAAAACTCTGGTGACCAACTGGAGGAGCCCCCAGAGAGGGGTGAGGCTGGTCCTGTAGTCCTGGGTCTCACTGGCCGCGGGCCTTCGCTGCACTAGTGGTAAAGGCGTGTCACAGGCTCTGGGGGCTTTGGAAGGCAGGAGGAAGGGGCTTCAGGGCAGCTGTGCGGGACCACTGCTGGGGCAGCTGGATTTCCCAGGATGGGTCGGATTTGTCGGCAGATTCCAAGTGAGGCGACTAGGTGATCAAGATGTGGGGCGGGGTGGGGTAAAGAAGGGGCCAAGGGCAGAGTGTGGGAGACTAGACATGAAAGAGGGGCTGTGCTCGGGGAACCTAGGAGACCGGAAAGGTCAGGAGCTAGGGAGGGAGTGAAACTTTCCACCCCCTCCCCCTCTGCCAGGTCTGGGGCTCGAGCGTGGCCCTCTTCTCCCTCCCCAGGTCTCTGTGGGATGGTGGCCATCTCCTGGTATGCCTTCAACATCACCCAGGAATTCTTTGACCCCTTGTATCCTGGGACCAAGTGAGTGTGGGAACCCCACCCTGGGGGGCTGTGGGTGGGACTCAGCCGGCCAGAGATAGCGCTGCCCCGCACCTCTCCTGTCCCCAGGTACGAGCTGGGCCCCGCCCTCTACCTGGGCTGGAGCGCCTCCCTGCTCGCCATCCTGGGGGGCTTCTGCCTCGGCTCCGGCTGCTGCCGCGCTCCTGATGCGGACCGGGCCCCCAGGTAAGGGCGGTGCGTGCGTCGGCGGGGCAGGAGGGATGGGAGGGGTGCTCCTCCACTGACCTAGGCCCCTCTGAACCAGGCTCCCCTACAAGGCCTCCGCTGTGCGGTCCCCTGTCCTCACTGACGGCCTGTGCTCCGCGGCCTCGGACGAAGGGGACAGCACCTTTGGCAAATACGGGAAGAACGCCTACGTGTAGGACGCAAATGGACCCCATTCCCCTCCCAATGCCCCAGCGGAGAAAGGCCCCTTGAACCTCGGGCGGCAGGCGGTGCCCCGACTCCACCCCAAGGCCAGAAGCCACGCCCAGCTCTGACCGAGCCTCCGGCCCCGCCTCCCACCCCGGCCACGCCTCCTTCATCCGGCCAGGAACCTGCCTCCTTAGAACTCACCTCGGACTCCTGGGGCAGGACCTTCTGGGTCTGGGCGCTGGTTGGTTAAGGGGGTGGAGGCTTCCCCTGCCGTTTGTATTGTGTATAAATACATGCATGAATAAATTTGTACTGTGAACTCTTCAGGGATAGAGGGTGTCATGAAGTGGCTGGCCAAGTGACAGGTGGCTGGGGTGGGCCCCAGAGCCGTCTCAGTTCTTGGACCCAAGGGACACTTGTCCCTCTTTATCACCTTTGGACTGTCTCATCGGAAAAGGAGAGGAGCGGTTGCAAATAATTTCACGAGTGTGACACTCATAATTACAAGAGTCATCAAGGCGTGGATAGGGGAAGACCCACCTCTAGGAAACTGAAAGGGGCCGAGGAATTCCCCCGGCCAGCCCGAGCTAAGTCGCGCTTGACTCTCGACCTTTTTCAAGGAGACAGCTGACCTGAGCAGAGTTCCTTTAGCTGTGCCTGAGTGGATCTCACAGATCAACAGCCCTTTGAAATTGTCCAATCAACCAGGTCTCCTGCAGGCAGATTTTTCTGGGGAAAGTTCAACGATTTCCAGAAAAGGCTCTCAAGGGCTCTTCCCAGAGGCTTGCATCTCGGTGGTGTGTGTGTGTGACTTGATGGTGTCCAACTCAGACACGGCAGTGGGTCATGGGCTGGCTTGGAACAGGGCTGGTGAGAGACAGGAAAATAAGGCCACAAGAGAGAAGCCTGACATCCAATGGAAGGAGGGGGACAAGGGCCCTAGGCCAGTACCTGTCCTTGGCAGCGTGGACCGGACCACCAGTCACTGGAGCGTCCTGGGTTCTGATCTCACCCCTTGAACTTTCTCTTTCATCCTATTTATCCCCCTGCACTGCCGTTCCCCTTGCGATGTAGAGCCCCCCCCCACCGCCCCGACACGTGCATCCTAACCGGGCCCTCTCTCTGCAGCCTCAGAAGTACACGCACCCCGGTGCGTCTTCCCCAGGCTGGCAAATTCACCAACTTCATCACTCCCCCCAGCCAGTTCCTGGAACTCCTGTGACCACACTCGACCCAAGTCACACAGCTTGACAACATCAATCACCTCGGGCTCTCCCTTCACTTCCCCTCTGCCACCTCCGCAGATCCCATGGATTCCCCCTCCTCAGTGGTTTTCACATCCACTTGCTTGGCTCCCTTTACTGCCTTTGCTGGGTTAGACCGTCATCCCAGGATTCCCCTGGTGGAGTTTCTCATCTGGCGAATTCTCTCCACCTTCCCCTCATGGAGCGCCAAGCGTTGTGCTGCCTTAGCAGCTCCCTAGCGCCTCGGGGGGATAAAGCCCAAGACCATTAAGGGCCCACACACTGCCCGGCCCTAGCCCACCCTTCTGTGTGGGGTCCCGACTCCTCCGTACATTGGTGCTCTCCTAGCGAACTGGATGGCTCACTGGCCTTGCGGTTTCCTACGGGTCTACCCAGAAGCACAGGTGCCTTTTCAGCTGTTAAGGGGGTTCCTGGTCAAGAAGTTTGTGGAAGTCTGTATACCCTATTGCCCCCCAATTCCCTTCTTCCAGAAAGTTTGTGGATGTCCCGCTGGTCGAGCCAGTTACATGGCCAAGTCGAGAGTCCGTGTGTAAGGGACCGCACGAGAGCGTGGATGCTAGTGTCATGATCTACCCGTCTGCTGTGCCAAGGACTGGCCCACGGGGTTTGCTTTATTCGCAAACCCATAGTGGGTTTCTCTCTCAAAAATGAGAACCTACACCTCATGAAGGTTCTTACAACTCTGAGAGGCCATCAGAGTTCCTCGGGGAGGCGGGTATCCTGCGTGCTCCCCGCCAACCCCCTCCCAGTAAAGGACAAAGGCTAAGTACATCTCCTGACATCCCCGCGGGGCATTTCCAACCCAATCTTCCACCCCATCCCCCGCCCCACAGCTTCTACCTCCTTTCCCAGAGCCCAGCCTGCCTCTTCTCAGCCCTTCCCCGCTCTCAGGAAGGCCCGCGTGAGCCAGCTCCCGCACTTGAGCATCTAAGTACGTGCCCTGAACACGGGCACTGGGTTTTGATATCGTCCGTTCCTCCTGCATAGTCACGTGGCTAGTAGGAGCTACTGACAGACTCACCCTTTTAAACAACACTTCTTTCCCTTTTTGCTGTAAGTAGTGTGGTGCCAAGACATGGCTTCCCGCCCTCGGAGAGCTCCCAGCTAGGAGCGAAGTGTAGACGGCTGGTTGCCGCGTGGTGGGCAAGGTGTGAGGGCTACGGCGAAGAATGGCCGGTCTTTGGAACGGGCTGGACAACAAACTGCTGGAGGTCTTTGGTAATCATGTCCACGTCTATCACTGACAGAACTCTCTAGATGCCAGGCCCTGGGCTGGGCACGCCGTCCTGTTTAATCCTCCCACTACCAGGGCCGTGGCTGTTAAGAGAGGGGGACCTGTGATCTGGCTGAGCTACACAGTTGGGAAATAGCAGGACCAGGATTTGTCCAAGACTGAAGACACAGCTGGCCTGCTTCCTGGAATTCTGGCCTTTCCTAACTAATTCACATCAACTAAATTCAGCTCTCACCGAGGACTGTAGGAGTGAGCCCCCAGGCTCTAGCATTAACCTTTCCCACCCTTTGTGCGCCCAGGAGGAGGCTGTGCTGTACCCTCCCTGGCCACGGGGACGACCCTCTACAAGCTTTGGGCACCCTGCTGATTTCCCGGAGACCGGGGTGTCTCCCAGGGTAGAGACTGATCTCCCCAGCCTGTAGGAACCTGGCGAGAATTGTTCTAGGCCTTTCCTTGGGGAGTGTGGGTTTAAGTGGGGGTCCAGAGACCCTTCCTAGATACAGAACATCAACGGAGGGCTCCTGGAGCCCCCTGGCATCAGAGCCATGCGGAGCCCTTGGGTCTGGCTCTGTCCTATCAGTCAGCTGGGAAGGCTGTGTCGCTGAGTAGACAAATCTTACATCAGGCAGAATCTATGTGATTCTTTTCGTAATGGCGAAATATGGAACAATGCCGGTGAATTTAGGAACAAAGCCGACGAGACCGTGTTCTGACGGCAAGTCCAATGCAGGTGATCACACCGAGGTGACGATGGCATTTCTCAGCCAAGAGTCTTTCATTCCCCTCCCACCCTCCCTCCCTTTCTCCCTTCTTTCCTCTTTTTTCCCCCTCCATTTTCTTCCTTGATGGAGAGGAAGACTGAAAGGTCAGGATCCAGGAAAGTTCCCCTGCATGGGAGAGACAGTAAATTCAGGCCGGAAGTCAGAAGCCAGCAAACGACTCCTGGTGTCCCGGTTACTACTGCCACATAACAACCTCCCCCGTCCCCGAGCCTCAGTGGCATAACCCACTGGGTCATACACACGGATTCCGCAGGCGAGGCTTCTGGGCCGTTGTAGAGATGGCTGTGTCTGCTCCGTGATGTCGAGCACATGGCCAGGAAGCCTCAAACGGCTGAGGGTGATTTGATGCCTGGTGGCCAGAACCATCTGGAGGCGTCTTCACTCCCACGAAGGAAGCCTGGGCTGGGGTGGTGCGAAGGCCTGACTCGGCTACGTCCGGCACGGGAGCACCTGCGTGTGGCCTCCCTGTGCAGTCTGGGTTCCTCACAGCACGGCGGCTTCCGGATGGCTGGATTTCTCACGTGGTGACGCAGGGATCCAAAACAATAAGCATCCTAGTTGACAAAGCAGAAGCTTCTCTGCCTTTGAATGTCGCATGTCCTTGAATGTCGCATGTCCTTGAATGTCACATGGTCTCACTTCTGCCACCCTGGCTGAAACGGTCATAATTCCGCCCTGATCCCTGGGGAAGGGACCAAAGACTCTACCTTTTGATGAAAGGACAGTCAGAAAATGTACAGCCATCTTTTAAAACCACCAGCTAGAACTGTCCCCAAACCATGTCCTCACCATCAGACTTGGAGCTGTCCCCAACACCATGGACCCAACCTCATGTCTCCAGAGAAAAGGCAAGGAAGACACCGCGAGCATCTGGACCAGCTATTGTAAAGTCCCAAAAGGGAAGAGAAGAGCCTACGAAGGTGCCTAACACGGAATTTGCTGGCTCTCATTAATATCTTATCAAGGTCATCTGTTCACCAAATACAACACTTACATCCTAAGCATCTGCTATGCTATGTTCTAACGGGGTACAGGGCCTTAAGACAGCAACTCCAAGGAGCTTATGAGCTCACAGCTTGCAATCCACTTAGGCGGCATGGGTATAAGAAGCTTTAATACTGCATTAAGAATTACGGCATCTGGGGCCCCCCGGGTGGCTCAGCGGGTTAAGCGTCTGACTTCTGCTAGATCATGGTCACCTGGGTCTTGGGATCGAGCCCCACATCAGGATCCCCGCTCGGTGGGGAGTCTGCTTCTCCCTCTGCCCCTGCTTGTGCGCTTGCTCTAATAAATAAATAAAATCTTAAATAAAAAAAAAAAATTACAGCATCTAGGGCCACCAAGAACAGAAGCCTCCATATCATGAATTCCCCCATGCTTCTCACGCTTCCCAGGAAATTTCCGCGTTTTCTCGGATACTGACAACTTCACACACTACAGCTCCTGGTTAACAACCGCCTCCTCAAGACGACTGTGCCTCAGGACGGCGGCACCAAGGACGAGGGCTGATCTCTCCACAGGGTTAAGGACCAGAGGCTGAAGCAGGGCTGGCTCCTTCTGCAGTATCATTCTGCACCCTGTCCCCAGCGCTCACTCTACTTCCCTGTCACCCGGTCCCGGCAACGCTCAAATGATCCTCAGAAAAACGACAGGAACAAAAAGCAAAAGCAAGTGCCTCCTGAAATCACCAAAAAACGACACCGAGCAGCAGCCAAGAAACGCGGAGGCGGGGCGTGGCAGGAGAACAGGAGGGAACCTTCCATGGTCAGATAGGCAGACGGTGGGAAGGGTGGGTGACAGATAGGAGGCAAAGCCACAGAGCTGTGAGTAGGACAAGAGACCTGTGACCCTCACCCCCAGAACGCCCCGTGACCGAACAGGCAGGCTCCGCATCGCAAGGAACCTTTTATTACACACAGCAGCGCGCTGACGGCCCCGCCCACGTCCCTGCACACAGGCCCCGGGAAGACTGCTCTGCTCCGGCAGGCAGGACACGGCTCTGCTGGGCGAGTGAACCGCTGCTCGCGAGGTCCAGAAGAGCCGCTCTCCCTTTGGCCGAGCCCTCTCTGAGGTTGTGGTGATGCGCGAAGGCCTTCTCCTCTGGGGACGCCCAGGCTCACACAGTCCACTTCAGGCACCTGCACGCAGAGGAAGCCCAGGGTGAGGAGAGGAGGGGGTCCGAGGGAGAAGCTGTGGACCCGGGGCGGGGCGTGCGGAGCTCACCTGGTCTCCTGGTGGGTGCCCAGACAGCGCACGGTACAGTAGCGGGCGCCGCAGCTGACACACGTGTAGGGGGAGGGGAAGCCGCAGACCGCACAGAAGGGGCGCTGGGGCCGGGACGGGGGTCCTGCACAGGCCGTCAGGTAGTTGGGGCCCTCGGCCACACTCAGATTCTGCTGAGACAAGGGGAAGGGTCCACAGCTCCTCGCCCACCCACGTAGCAAACACCCACCCAGGACCAGGACCTCAGTGGGCTCGTTCCTTCCCTGTGGGGTCCTCCCAGCCCCTGGGCCAGTGCCCCCTCACCTGCTCCTCCAGCAAGGCCTGAAAGTTCTTTCGGAAGCGAAGTTTAAAATGATCCCCTCGGGTTTTCTTCTTTTTCTTTCCTATGGAGGAAGGGCAATTACAGTTTACCCCTTGACCTACGAGAGGCTCAGGGAAGCCGACCTCCTCCGCATAGTGAGAAATCTGTAGGGACCTTTCAAGCCCCCCCACCCCCCAAACAGCCTACTGCAGACCAGAAGCCTTACTGATAACGGAAACAGGCGGTTAACACCAACTTTGTACGTTCTATGTGTTATATACCATATTCTTGCAACAAAGGTAGAGAAAACAAAATATGTAGAAAAATCGCAAGGTAGAGAAAGAACATTTACAGGACCGGACTGTAAAAAACCCATGAGGGAGCAGAACTGCTCAGTTCAAACCCATGCTGTTCAGGGTCAACTGTAGTTACTTGGCACGTGCCAAGAAAGACCCCATCTTCCTCTGCGCCATCATTCCCAATACCCATGAGTCCGCCCCCTGCCCGCGTGCTCTACCAGGTTCCAAGTCTCCCTCTCTCCCGCACGTGTGTCCCTCCTCTCACTTCTCCAACCAGCACCTACACACATCTCACGCTCCCCTAAGGCTTCGTGTAAGAGCTGGAGGGGCTCTGGGAGCTCAGTTCCCGTATGTTCTGTCTCCTCCATCTGCTAGAGGAAGCTGCAGCAGGAGCCAGTCCCAGCAGAGCCAGAGGAGCTCCCCTGTCATCTGCCCACCCCACAGCCCCATGTCCTTTGAGGGTCCTCAGCCAGGCTGACTCCTCCCTCCTCCCCCACCCACCTTACCGGTATCTGCATCATCATCGAACTGAGGCAGCCTCTTGCCAAGCTGGGGAAGTCCTGCGTGGGGGTCGTCCTGGAAGTTGTCATTCTCCAAGGCCTCGAGCTGCCTGTTGATGCGGCGCTGTCGGGCCGCCCGGTCTAGGACCCGCCGCTGTCCAGGGTCCTGGGAGCGAACTGGATGGGGCAGAGCCAGAATCATGGGGACGCAGGAAAAGAGAAGTTGGGGTGGCCCCAGCATTTCCTCCCAATCCCCAGACCCAACTAGTGAAACGCCTCCTGGAGACCTCTCACTGCTGGCAGACATCACACAACCACGCACTCTGGGATTCCCACCTCCACTGGGACCTTAATGCACCCCTCTTTCATGCTCAGCAACCCCATTTCCTGCCACAAAGGACAAGGGCCAGCCATATGTACAGACACTCATCTTTCAGCCCACCCTCAAACAGAAGTGTATGCACACCCCTTCTTCCCCCCCGGGTCCCACTGTTAAACCTGACTTTCACCTCCGACTTGAGTCCTTCCCTCCCTCCTGCGTCTTTAACCCTCTTCCCCCACAGGAACTTTCCCTTCACTAGAAAAACCTGTCAAACTCTCACATGTCGACCCAGCATCACAGTGACTTATCTTTGAGACAACGGTCCACGGGATGTTCCATTTCTGCACGTCCCACCCAATCCTCAACCCCCCCCGACCGTGAACTGACTCCTGTTCAAGGGCAACCACGCACGTTCAAGACCCCAGTGACGTCCTAGGGCCAAATCCAGTGTGTATTTCTACAATCCTCCTTGTATGGCCCCCTGTGACTGTACCAACGATTTCCCTTGGGTGGAAAGTATGCTCTCATCTGCTTTCTTGACATGACTTCAGCTTTTCCTTATGGCTATAGGCACTCAATGAATATACGTTTTAATGAAGAAAGAGATATTTTGTATAGAATTAACAAACCCCAGTGAACAGCTGGAATGATAATGAGAGAGAGGTTTTAAATGGTGAAGTCAGAAGGAAGCTTCCAGGGGGACGAGCAAGATGGTGGAGGAGTGGGAGCGAAACCTAAAAATCACAGGTCCGAGGCGTTCGGCTAGACAGTTACCAAACCATCCCGAACACCTGCAAACCCAAGAGGAGATCAAAGAGAAGAGCAGCAATTCTAGGAACAGAAAATCGACCACTTTCCAGAAAGTAGGATGTGCAGAGAAGTGAATCTGAAGCAACATCTAGAAGACAGACCGCGGGGGGAGGGGCCGGCTCCCGACAAGCGGTGGAACGGTGGAGCACAAAATCCGAACTTTTAGAAGTCTGCTCCATAGAGGGACATCGCTCCAGAGGCTAAGCGGGGGTGGAGCCCTCGCGGGGAGAGTGTGGGCTCAGGTCCTGTGGGGTCACAGAAGGATCGGGGGTGTCTGAGTGCGGCAGAGCCCCCAGGTAACTGGAGCGGGGGAGCTGGATACAGAGACCAAGCCTGGGGGGGTGGGCAGCTCTCAGCTCAGGGTTACCTGAAACCAGGATCCGAGGCACAGTCGGGCCACTGCTCTTCGAGCAGGGACCCTACAAGTGCCAGATCAGGGGAGCCACCCTGTTCCTCCTCCGGGAGGAGCAAACAGCAGGAACCTGCTGGGTCTGCAGACTCCAAACAGGGCTGTGCACCAGAGACAGAAACGTTCGGTCACAGGCCGGGTGAGCTCAGAGTACAGCCAGAGACCAGGGAGATGGGAGGGACTCCTGCTTTTCTCTGAGGGCGCGCTGAGGAGGCGGGCCCCGAGCTCTCAGCACCACGAGGCTGCAAGGCCGCCATCTTCATTCCCATCCTCCAGAGCTCTATGGAAAGTGTTCAGGGAACACAAGCTCGCAAAAGTGAACCCGAGCAGATTTGCTCTCCAAACCAGGCCACTTAGCCTGGCCCCCCGCAAGGGCGGTGCAATTCTGCCTCCAGCAAAAACATTTGAGAATCAATACAACAGGCCCCTCCCCCAGAAGATCAACAAGAACATCCATCCAAGCCCAAGCTCACCAATCATGAGAACTGAAAAACTTCAGAGCTATGGGAATACAGCCCATATAATTCATGGCTTTCCCCCATGATTCTTTAGTCTTCCAAAGCTAAGTTTTTTTAAAGTTTTTTTTTAAAGATTTTATTTATTTATTTGACACAGAGAGAGATCACAAGTAGGCAGAGCAGCAGGCAGAAAGAAAGGGGGAAGCAGTCTTCCCCGCTGAGCAGAGAGCCTGACGCAGGGCCTGATCCCAGGACCCCAAGACCACAACCTGAGTTGAAGGTAAAGGCCCAACCCACTGAGCCACCCAGGTGCCCCCAAAGCTAAATTTTTTAAATTTTTTGTTCTTTTTTAAAAAATTATTCCTCTTTCCTATTTTAACATTTTTAACTATTTTATCTTACCAATACCTTTTTAAAAAATCTTTTTAAATTTCCATTGTTACAGTCATATTCTATCCCTTCTTTGTATTTGACCTTCCTTTTAGTATACATATAGGTTTTTCATCCTTTAAAATTATGGGATACAGTTTCTTTTTTTTTTTTTTTAAGATTTATTTATTTATTTGACAGACAGAGATCACAAGTAGGCAGAGAGGCAGGCGGAGAGAGGGGGAAGCAGGCTTTCCACCGAGCAGAGAGCCCAATGCGGGGCTCCATCCCAGGACCCTGAGACCATGACCTGAGCCGAAGGCAGAGGCTTAACCCACTGAGCCACTCTGGCGCCCCCAGTTTCTTCTAATAGATCAAAATATACCCTAAATCAAGCACATGGCTTTGTTCTAGTCTCCAGCCTAATCACATTATTTCCTCCTCTTTTTTCTTTTTTTCAACCAACTTCTTATATTATCAATTCCTTTTTTAGAATTTTTTTAAAATTTTCATCTTTATAGTCAAATTCAATCCCTTCATGTTTACCCTTACTTTTGTGTGTGTGTGTGTGTATATATATGTGTGTGTGTGTGTATATATATATATATATGTGTGTGTATATATATATATGTGTGTGTATATATATATATACATATATATATATATATACGTTTTTCTTTCTTCAAAATTTTGGGAGACAGTTTCTTTTGATAGACCAAAATACACCCAAAATCAAGTGTGTGGCTCTGTTCTATTCACCAGTCTTATATGCTTTTTTCCTTTTTTTCCCCCTCCTTTCTTCTCCCCCCAGTATCAGGTTTCTTCTGATTTGGTTAGTCTATATTTTTCTGGGGTCATTGCTACCCTTGGTAGTATTTTGTTCTCTCATTCATCTATTCTTATCTGGATAAAATAACAAGGTGTAAAAACTCACCTCAAGAAAAAAGAACAAGAGGCAGTACCAACGGCTAGGAACCTAATCAATACAGACATTAGTAATATGTCAGAACTGCAACTCAGAATGGCATGCTCAGGGGCGCCTGGGTGGCTCAGTGGGTTAAAGCCTCTGCCTTCGGCTCAGGTCATGATCCCAGGGTTCTGGGATCGAGCCCCGCATCAGGCTCTCTGCTCTGCAGGGAGCCTGCTTCCTCCTCTCTCTCTCTGCCTGCCTCTCTGCCTACTTGTGATCTCTGTCTGTCAAATAAATAAATAAAATATAAAAAAAAAAAAAAAGAATGGCATGCTCATGTATTGGAAGACCAAAATACTCACCAAAAAACAGGTGCTAGCTGGGCTCCAAAAAAGCACAGAAGATACTAGAGAATCCCTTTCTGGAGAAATAAAAGCCCTTTCTGGAGAAATAAAAAAACTAAAATCTAACCAAGTTGAAATTTAAAAAAAAAAGCTATTAATAAGGTGTAATAAAAAATGGAGACTCTTACTGCTAGGATAAATGAGGCAGAAGAGAGAATTAGTGATATAGAAGACCCAATGATGGAGAATAAAGAAGCTAAGGAAAAGAGAGACAGCTACTGGACCACAAGGGGAGAATTCGAGAGATAAGGGATACCATAAGATGTAACAATGTTAAAATAATTGGGATCCCAGAAGAACAAGGAAAGAGGGGGGCAGGAGGTATACTGGAGCAAATTATACCAGAGAATTTCCCTAATTTGGCAAAGGGAACAAGCATCAAAATCCTGGAGGCACAGAGAACCTCCATCAAAATCAATAAAAATAGGTCCACACCCCGTCATCGAATAGTAAAACTTACACGTCTCAGTGACAAAGAGAAAATCCTGAAAGCAGCTTGGGACAAGAGGTCTGTAGCATACAAAGGTAGAAACATTAGATTGGCAGCAGACCGATCCACAGAGACCTGGCAGGCCAGAAAGGGCTGGCGTGATATATTCAGAGAACTAAACGAGAAAAATATGCAGCCAAGAATACTATATCCAGCTAGGCTGTCACTGAAAACAGGAGAGAGAAAAAGCTTCCAGGACAAACAAAAACTAAAAGAATTTGCAAACATCAAACCAGCCCTACAGGAAATACTGAAAAGGGTCCTCTAAGCAGAGACAGAGCCTAAAAGTAACAGACCAGAAAGGAACAGAGACAATATACAGTAACACACATTTTACAGGCAATACAATGGCAGTAAATTCATATCTTTCAATACTAAGCCTGAATATAAATGGGCTACATGCCCCAATCAAAAGAGAAAGGGTATCAGAATGGATTAAACAAACAAGACCCATCAATATGCTGTCCGCAAGAAACTCATTTTAATCCCAAAGACACCTCCAGATTTAAAGTGAGGGGGTGGAAAACAATTTACTACACTAAGGGACATCAAAAGAAAGCTGGGGTGGCAATCCTTTTATCAGATCAATTAGATTTTAAGCCAAAGACTATCATAAGAGATGAGGAAGGACACTGTACCATACTTAGATCTTCTTGTTGAACAGACCCTTGAACAATTTTAAATCTCTATGGCTGTAACATGGGAGCGGCCAATTAATAACAAAATCAAAGAAACACATCGACCATAGTACAATAATAGTAGGGGACTTTAACACTCCTCTCACTGAAATGGACAGATCATCTAATCAAAAGATCAACAAGGAAATAAAGGCTTTAAATGACACACTGGATCAGATGGACATCACAGATATATTTAGAACATTCTATTCCAAAACAACAGAATACACATTCTTCTCTAGTGCACATGGAACATTCTGGGCCACAAATCAGGTCTCAATCGATACCAAAAGACAGGGATCATTCCCGACATATTTTCAAACCACAATGCTCTGAAACTAGAACTCAATCACAAGACGGAACTTGGAAAGAACTCAAATACATGGAGACTAAAGAGCATCCTACTAAAGAATGAATGGGTCAACCAGGAAATTAAAGAAAATTTTAAAAATTCATGGAAACAAATGAAAATGAAAACACAACTGTTCAAAAATCTTTGGGACACAGAAAGGAGGTCCTGAGAGGAAAGTATATAGCAACACAAGCCTTTCTCAAGAAACAAGAAAGGTCTCAAGTACACAACCTAACCCTACACCTAAAGGAGCTGGAGAAAGAACAGCAAAGAAAGCCTAAATCCAGCAGGAGAAGAGAAATAAAGAGCAGAAATCAATGAAATAGAAACCAGAAGAACAGTAGAACAAATCAACAAAGAAATTAAGAGCTGGTTCTTTGAAAGAATTCATAAGACTGATAAACCCCCGGCCAGACTTATCAAAAAGAAAAGAGAAAGGACCGAAGTTAATAAAATCATGAATGAAAGAGAAGACATCATGCCACCAAAGAAATACAATTATAAGAACATATTATGAGCAACTATACACCAGCAAATCTGAATCTAGAAGAAATGGATGCATTCCTAGAGACAAATAAACTACCAAAACTGTGGGGCGCCTGGGTGGCTCAGTGGGTTAAACTACCAAAACCGAACCAGGAAGAAATAGAAAACCTGAAGAGACCCATAACCAGTAAGAAGATTGAAGCAGTCATCAAAAACTTCCAACAAGTAAGAGCCCAGGTCTAGATGGTTTCCCAAGGGAATTCTACCAAACATTTAAAGAATTAATACCTATTCTCCTGAAACTGTTCCAAAAAACAGAAATGGAAGGAAAACTTCCAAACTGATTTTATGAGGCCAGCATTACCTTGATCCCAAAACCAAAGACCCCATCAAAAGGGAAAATTACAGGCCAATATCCTTCATGAACACGGATGCAAAAACTCTCACCAAAATATTCGCCTATAGGATCCAACAGTATATTAAA